GTCTTTTCTACGCCCGTGTTTTGTTCTCACAGACACCCGGTAGCAAGTAATAAAACAACATTAAACTCCGGCAAGAAGATAAAGTCCTTTTTGCAAAATCATAGACATGTATTTACAAATCAAGTATAATGGGAACACAGGATGATCTTGGAGAGAGCTTTACCGAGCTGACTGCTGTAACCGAACGCGACCAGGGTTTAAAGGCTGAACGAATGACTGACAGCCACAGCGGAGAAAAGAGTTTGTGTGAACTTTAATGTAAGGACTTAAATATTCACATGTAGCTCACATTAAGCTATCTTATGGTTTCAGAAGTAACAGAGAATAATTCACACAATCGAAGAAAAAATAAATAAATCTCGGATTGGGATCGGCCCTCTCTGACCAATACCCGATCCGAGAAAAATGGCACTATCGGAGCCGATACCCGATATGAATATCGGATCGGCGCATCCCGATGTTCAACCAATCAGAGCGTTTTTTTTGTTTTTTTTTGTTTTTGCATTTAAATTTCTGCATTTTATTTCTCTCCTAGTAGCCTATAGTATATAGTTTCATTTCAAAGCGGCTCGCCCCGTCAGATGCTCTGACAGAAAGGCTGCGTGTGAGACTGAAGGAGAAGCGCGGTTTACTGTGTTTGAGATGTGCTGTTTTCCTTAATGCATAACTTATATTTCACCGGTATATTCTCCATCTGTAAATGTTAAAAAAGCCATGGAAATATTTCCATTTTGCTGTCAGAAGTGCATGAGCTTTTGCTTTGCGATTCTCCGGTAAACTCCACAGACTTCATTTAGAACGAGTGCCGCCGCGCGCATGCGTGCCAAACAGACAGAGCTCAATGAAATAGGAGGGCAATAACTAAAAATACATTTTGCTGAAATATTTGTAGTTGGACAATAAATGTGACACATGTAGAATTTTAAACCTACAAGTACGATGGCACTAACTGTAAAGTGTAATGGGGTAATCAAAATACCCTTTATACTCAGTCTGTGCTTTTTGTTTTCAATTTTAGTTTAGTAACTAACTTCTGCTTTAAAGGATTATTTTTGTTTTTAGATTGCAATGTTACAATGTATTGTGATTTTAACCCTTTTTTGTACATAATATAGGCTTATGCCTACATGCTTACATTCACTTTATTTGTTTAATCCAAATACAAAATACAGAGAGAGAGAGGCTACCGTATACTGCAAATCAGCCAAAAAATACCGAGATATTAATTTTTGCTCATATCGCCCAGCCCTATACAGAAGTGTACTGGACGGGGTTTTTTTTCTTTCTTTTTAAATAGCATTAAAAAAAACTAAATCGCAAAAATTAACTAAACAGTTACGGTAAACGGTAAAAAAAAAAAAACGTAAAACTGTTTACTCCCACTCCAAAGACCCCCCGCTCACGCCCGCCACGCTCATGGTACTCGAAAAAAAAAAAAAACCTTTCCAAGGTTGGCAGGTCTGCGATATTTACGCGGGTCCTACCTCTTGCCTGATCGTAACCCTTCTTTTTAATGTTTTTCTCCTGAAATTGTCCTTTTTTTTTATCTGCTATCTGTAGTCGATCTGCTAATATCTGTCCTGTGCACTCTCTTCTCCCTTTCATTACTAGACGCCCCTTATTGCTGATTGGCAGTGATTTGTGTTTTGGGACTCAGTCCGACACTGTGGTCAAAAGCATTTTTCAAATATTGCTTAGTGCACCTTTAAACTTGCAGTTAATTGTGTGTTCCCATTTCAACCTCTAGCTGTCAATATTACATACTGCATCTTTTAGTAAAATAATCTGGCAAACACAATGTAAAAGGTCCTAAGCCTTACATTTTTTTGGGTAAATTTAAGTTTTTTTTGTTTCCATTTTCAGATTCGAACCCTGGCTGCACGTGCAGCTTCATCCTTCATCTTGACCAATGAGCGCAACACAGCCTTGCTGAAACACATTTCAGATCTTCTTCCTGGCATCCTACAGGTGAAGAATGTCTAACCACACCTTTACTCCGTAACTTGCACACCTGCTCTTCTGAATTTGTGCTTTGTCACTTGATGATGTTTTATGATTGAAAAGGGTGCTCACTAGTTCCCCCTCTGTGGTTGTGCTTTTAAGTGTGCCTTTTTGCCAAGTTCACACTGGAGAACCATAAGAGCAGAGGATGGCATGTATATTAACACTTGTATAGTCACCATTGCACACTTTGTCTCCAATCAGGCGGTGAATGAATCCTGTTACTGTGGTGACGACTCTGTGCTGAAGTCATTGGTGGAGGTTGCAGACACGGCCCCCAAATACTTAAGACCAAACCTGGAAGCCACTCTCCAACTGAGCCTGAAGGTGAGCCAACATATAAACCGGTTATACTTTATCTCGAGTAGTGGGGAATATTTTATTATATATGAAGACGTTACTTGCAAAAAGTCCATCTGAGATTTTTTTTTTTTTCCCTTTTAAATCATTTTCCAATTATTTTCCTAGGAGCCTGATAAAGCTCATTTGAAAAAAATCTCAGATGAACACAGTATGAGAAATTGTATTTCATGATAACTATATGTATCTTGATATAGCTATTATTTTATTTTTTGTTATAAAAAATAAGAAAATGTTGCAAATTACAAACACAATAGAACAAATTAATATAAAATAGTCTTTTAATTTATTCAGCTACAGTAGGTTTATTTAACATGTAGTAAGAAATATTACAGAAGTTGAAAATAAAGTGTTTAAATAAAACACTGCATAGTCTTCACTGTATCAATCAAACATGAACTGATTCTAATTAAATATCTAAAAGTGATTCAGTCAAGTGCAGTGAGTGATTAATAGTGGTCGGCCGATATCTGCCATTTTTCAAATATCGGCATTGGCCGATAAGTTTTTCTGTTTGGCCGATGTGTTCGACGCGAGACTTTTATTTTGACTGCGCCGAGAACGGCTGCGGCAGCGCCTGAGCACACAGTGCTCACATTCTCCCTCTTGTTCGCTGTTGTCATTCAGTTCGGTCTAATACGGATAGAAGTCTAATAATCAGATAGAACTGTTAAACAAAGGAATTAAAATTTATAAAATAAAGTATTGTAACGATTGCTTTAATATTATTAAAGGCAAACATTATAATACTTTCTCGTTTGCCGCCAGCATTCCGCAAATACACATTTCAACCCTCTACATTGCGAGTAAATCACTTGCATATGCGACTAAATCTTCACTCTGGGCGACTAGGTGATGTCTAATATTAGCCAATTGCTAATAAATTCTCAGATTTTACTCGCCAGTGTGAGTTGGAGGCTAAGTATAAGTTTAGCTCAGATATATTTTCACTCGCCGAACACTGTCTGACTGAGCGCTTCAGAGTTTCTCTCTCCGCCAAGCGATCTGTGCTGTTTTTCAGTTAATCTGAATGGATGTGCAACGCACCTGTATTTAACGTACCGTAAACTCTAGTGTGAAGGCGCACGACTCGCCGGCGCTTTGTTTATCTCACACACGCAGCGAGAGAGGGAGAGAGAGAAATGACGCGCTACCTATGCGCGCTACTTTCAAATTATGCTGCGCTTTATGCATTTGCCCACGGTCATATTCATGTCATTTTCACTATGTGTTGTATGTAAAATGAGTGTTACCTTGGCTTTATTTGAAAAAATATGATTTCCAATGCACACAAACTTCCCAGAATACTGAGTGCCCTGTTGGTTACAGTGTTTACTTCCTTTTTAATTATATTTTTATTAAATATTTATTTGTGAAAAATACTTTGTCTTCTAGAGTATAAGTATGTTTATTTTACACGTTTATTTTTTAATCCATTTTCAAATGGATTAACATTTTCTTAAATTATATCGGTCATCAGCCATCCAGCTTTCCAAGATATCGGCATCGGTATCGACTGTCAAAAAACCCATATCGGTCGACCACTAGTGATTAACATTAATAATGACGGACAGCAGCAGGTAAATTAGACTGCTTTCCCTTTAAAGTGTTAGTTCGCCCAAAAATGAAAATTAGGCTGTGTTTTACTCACCCCCGAGGCATCCTAGGTGTATGTGACTTTCTTCTTTCAGACGAATCCAGTCGGAGTTATATTAAAGGTGACATATTATGCCCCTTTTTATAATATGTAATATAAGTCTCTGGTGTCCCCAGAATGTGTCTGTGAAGTTTCACAGCAGAAAGCTGCTGTCACAGCATGCGAGTAATAATCTAAGTTCTCATTCACACACAAGTTTACGTTAAAAACACACGAGTTACTAAAACAGTCGGTTATGTCTGTGAAGTTAAACAGCTGGGAAATAAATCACGTTTATTTTAGATCTGTGTGGCAGCAGCAATATACAGTAGCCTAAATAAATAAAAAAATCCACTGCTCTCTTGTCTCCTCTGAGGCTGGGACTCTAACTAGTGTTCTGTGCTTGTCTGTGCAGCCAAAGACCGAACCGTTAGCATGTTTTGCTCAAACTTTCGCCATGGCATTAGAGCTGGTGTACACCGTTGTCACTTGCGTAAATCAAAATGACAGTGCCTTGAGTGGAAGTTTACAGATTAAGGGGCGGTGGTAATATAATGAGATCCCTTTGCCACGTCACCAAGGGAGCGAAATCAGACGCGCTCGTTTTCTCAGCCGCTTGCAGAAAAAGGCTTACCTAAACAAAGTGATTGAGTTAATCTGTTTCACGTTTCCTTGGTTGGTAGATGCACCAGGGACCTGATTATAGCACTTATATCATGAAAATCTGACTTTTCCAGGTTTTGTCACCTTTAAAAAATTGTCCTGGCTATTCCGAGCTCTATCATTGCAGTCAGCGGGTGTTGCAGTGCTTCAGTCCAAAAGAAGTGAAATAAAAAGCGCCCATCCATTAAGAAAAAGTGTCTCACATGGCTTCGGGGGATGAACAAAGGCCTCCTGTAGCGAATCGATGCAGTTTTGTAAGAAAAATAACCATATTCAAAACGTAATAATCAATTTAATCTAGCTTGCGCTCACTGTTGTAAACTGAAGCAGATCTGGGCAAATGACGTATGAGGTCTTTTTATTTCACTTCTTTTGGACTGAAGCACTGCAGCACCCGCTGACTGCAATGATAGAGCTTGGAATAGCCAGAACAATTTAATATAACGCCGTCTGGATTCATCTGAAAGTAGAAAGTCATATACACCTAGGATGCCTCGGGGGTGAGTAAAACGCAGCCCAATTAAAATTTTTGGGTGAGCTAACCCTTTAAGACCGACTGCACTGATCCAATATACTGCGACACATCCGGTTTTCACCCGACTATTTGTTTATTTAACAGATAACCGACAGTGTTTTTGTGAATACTCCACACGGCAGGCATTTTAACATAATTGTGTGCATATTTGACCATTCAAGCACGAAAGAGATTTTTCTCGATCGCATGCTGTCTGAGAGAGAGGGGCTTTCAGTGTGTGCGCTTCGACTGTGTGTCAGTGTTTAATTTTATAATATAAATTTTTTTTTTTTTAATTTATACATGGCTTAAAACTAAATATTTATGTATGTGTATATATATTAAGGGTTGAACACTTCAGATTTTTTTTTTGTCAACTTTTATGTGATAAGTCGAGTTGAAGTCGACTAGTCACTGATGATGTCATTAATGAACAAATAAGTCTGGAGCTGTGGTAAACACCTTGTGCATAGCTATAGCATATGACACAGCGCTGTCCACATGGCTATTGCTCCTATAACAGCAAATTTTTCAGTTCTTTTGTCTTTGGGTCATTATATTTCTCACAGATTTCTGCTCGTTCTAAATCAGATACAGATAAAGTAGCACAGTAAAGATTACATTCATATAAATGCATTAGAGGGAGCGATTGCGTGTGTGAATTAATTCTACCTGGCAGCGTCTCTCTACTAGTAGTGAAGCTGTGGGATTTAGTTCAGAAATATATGCTTGAACTTTTCAGTCTCTAAGCTATTTTATTAAGAAATCACAGAACAGTGTTGACAATACATTTCTGCGCTGAATGATTCTGTGCGCGCGCGATCTGTGCGTGATGTACGAGCTACTGTCTGTAGCCTGTGTGTGTGTGCAGCAGCGCATTAGATTAGAACGGCGATTAACTTACCTGTACAATAAGCCGTTTAAAATGTGCATTCTCTTGTTCAATTTCGAGCATCCAGTAATATAATCACACGTTTTGTGTAGCGCTTTCAGAGTATGCATTTATTTGTCATTGTAACTGTTTGGAAAAGGAGCGTAAATGTGGAAGTCCTTAAAAGATTTCTTATCCTGTTGTGCCCTCTATAGGACCAGCGACTAGTCGACGTCAAGCTTAAAGCGTCATGGCAGAGCATTGAAGTCAATCAGTCGGTGCAACCCCTTATTTATATAATTGATCTCACAAATTTATATAATCACAAATTGATCTTTAATTTAATGCTTGGAAGTTGCCATTCCCGTGCACCTTCCACAGCCCGGTTGCAGAAACATGTCATGGGCATGTAAGAATGTTGATCTTAAGACTAAAACCATGTCCTGCTTTGAAAGTGTAAATGATACACAAAGACTCATTTAACCCATGTGATATTTCATCGATTATGTCAAATGCAGAATCATGATATTTTAGTCCATTTATATTGGGTTTTTCCTCTTCAGTTGTGCGCAGACACCAACCTTACGAACATGCAGCGGCAGCTGGCTCTGGAAGTCATCGCCACACTGTCTGAAACTGCTGCTGCCATGCTGAGGAAACACACCAACATTGTTGCTCAGAGTGGTAAGAGAGACATTTAAAGGGGTCATATGATGTGATTTCAATTTTTCCTTTCTCTTTGGAGTGTTACAAGCTCTTGGTGCATAAAAAAAGATCTGTAAAGTTGCAAAGACTAAAGTCTCAAATCCAAAGAGATATTCTTTATAAAAGTTAAGAGTCAGCCACACCTACCTAAAACAGCTCGTTCTAACATGCCCCCAACATATCTATATCACTATGTGGGAAGATTTGCATAACGCTGCCCAAATGTTCATGCAAAGAAAGAAGGCGTAACTTTTATTCTGACTAGTATTGTTGCCGCTTTCCGCCATGTCCTGAAGACGCTGTGTGCTTCGTTGTGAAAGTGAAACTACTTTGTTTGGTCTTCCAAAAGAGGACGATATCCGATAAATCCGCCCAAAAGTTCACACAAAGAAAGAAGGCGTAACTTTTCTCGCTGTAGTATTGTTGTTGCCGCCGCCACCATGTCGTGAAGGTGCCGCGTGGGCCATGTCTGATGAACTAGAAGATGATGATTTTGATAGGTGAGTTTAATATTTGCGTAAGAGGTATAATAATTTTTTGGGGGAGCAGCAGTCAGTTGTGTGCTCATACAAAATTGACCGATCAGTTTTATTCTTCAGGACTGGTTAATTCACATACTGGTAATTTCCCATTACTAAAAATAGTTTACTTGTGCAGCTTGCAAGGATTTGATATCTGTGCAGGGTTTCTGAGGGTCTTTAAGTCTTAATTTGCTCTTCCTCAAGTTAAATCTGAGCTAAAAGTCTTAGATTTTTAAAGCCAAGGCATTAAATGTTACATGTGCTGCAAAAATGAATATCCTCCTTTCTATTTTTGTCTTGCTTTCTAATACAAATATCTAAACTCCCTATAAAGATACATTTACGTGAGATGCAAAATTAAGATATGAAGTCATGTTTTTTTTTTATTAAACTAAAACCTTAAATTTATTACTCGGAAAAACTTACAATATTTTATTTCAGGACATCATTAGGATATTAAGTAAAGAGCATGTTCCATGAAGATATTTTGTCAATTTCATACTGTAAATATATTAAAACTTAATTTTTGATTAGTCATCTGCATTGCTAAGAATTTCCTTTGGACAACTTTAAAGGTGATTTTCTTTTTTTTTTTCTTTTTTTTATTAATTTTTTCCCCCCCTCCCCCAGATTTTCAAATAGTTGTATCTCGGCCAAATATGGCCCTATCATAACAAACCATACATCAATGGAAAGTTTATTTATTCAGCTTTTATATGGTGTATAAATCAATAAAAATAAAAAAAGACCCTTATGATTGGTTTTGTGGTCCAGGGTCACATTTTATTTTAAACTGAAAAATGAATAAAAACTGTTTAATAAACAAAACTGACAAAAAATAATTAATAAAATGACTTAAAAATGAAAAGATAATATAAAGTTGATTCAAAATGCTAATAAATAGGGCTGCACGATATATCGAAATATCTCAAATGTAAATATCGCGATATGCATATTGCAACGGCATGCGATATCTGAATTATTTTAATAGACTAAAATCAAAACGTTGCAAAAGGTCAACGTTTTAGGTCGACACAGCAGAGAAGTGCTTGACGTTAAAAAGAGTTAAGTGCATTAAGTTGCAGAAAACAACTCTTTGCCCTCTCTTATTGCAATCTGACTCACACCTGAAGCGGGTGCACAAGCTGCATCTCGGACAGCGTGTGATCTCTTTAGTATTCTGTGCTCACTGCTGCCGCATGCGTGCACACCGAGACGCGTTTCAGACAGCGCGAACACGGTTGATTCGTCTTTGGCATCTCCTTATGTTTAAACGGATACATACACAGAATTATGTCAAAATACCCGTCTCGACAATCATTCTTGTAAACACAGTCAGTTATGTTTTAAATGAATGTAAACAGCTGAGAAAGAAATCGGATGTGTATCATTATACTGGATCCGTACAGTCTGTCTTAAAGAGACAGCATCCTATTAATATGTAAATAAATATATAAATATATCCTATAAATATTTATTACATTAAATGTAATAAATGTGCTGCTAGATATGTCACTAATGTTTACCAAACAACAAAACACCGCTTTAACAAAGATTAATCTAAATTTAATTCATACAGTGAACCCTATGCAGTGTTATTTAACACTTAATTATTAACTTTCTGTACCTGAATACTACTGTTTATTTTATCTATGCTTGTATTGTTTTTTTCTTTTTTACTGACTGTTCACTTGCCTTTGGTCATGTTTGAACTTTCTTAGGCTATAGTTTTTGCTGCGGTATATGAAGAAGGTGTACTTTAAGTAATAAACGGAAAGCAAAGATACATTGATATAAAATAAGTGGCATTCATTTTTTTTGTTTGTTCACATTGATGTTAAAATGACATTTTCAGATTTGTGACATTACTATTTATGTAATGCTAAAACACTGCTGGTCACTTTCAGAAGTTGTAGTGATGCTTTCTTTTCCAAGAAAGAATGTGAAGCATATACTGGTTATATAATTTTCATTTTTAAATATTTTAAAATATAATTGTAATTGATTTTACACACTTAAGTCAATATCGTATCGAATATCGCATTATTTATAACAAGGTATTGCATTTTTCTTCAATATCGCACAGCCCTACTAATAAACTATAATAGTATCCTAATGTATCTTCAAATAAAACTTGTTGGAAGTTGTATTTTCATACTTGTTAATTCAACTTATTGTGTAGACGTTTACATTTTAGAGCATAAAAACCTGCTGTAATGGAGTGTGGCATTATTGCTTTGAAATGCCTGTCAATAATGCTTCATTGTTTCTGATAATAGATCCTTTAAAAGTGTGATGTGATTCTTTCTGGCCTCTGCTCCTGTTCAGTAATGCTGTTGCTGGTGAAAGCGCTCTGGATAGGATTGCATGTGGCCTCGGAGGAAAGATTGTCCTTCCCATGATCAAACAGCACATCATGCAGATGTTGCAGAACCGTGAGTAGATGCATTAGGATCTGTTGTTATCGCGTTTATAAAAAAATGAGATTTTTGTTCATAAATATATTTCTAATTTCTTCGCAGCTGATTGGAAGTACAGGCACGCTGGTCTGATGGCGCTCTCTGCTATTGGCGAGGGCTGTCATCAACAGATGGAGGCCATTCTGAGTGAGATCGTCAGCTTCGTTTTGCTCTTCTGTCAGGATCCGGTAAGAAAACCCGTAAATCACAGCACTTCATTTTTTATGTGTTTTAATAAGTATAGACGCTAAACTGAGCCTCTTACTATACCCCTTCAGCACCCCCGGGTTCGTTACGCCGCCTGTAATGCTATTGGACAGATGGCCACAGACTTCGCCCCCACCTTCCAGAAAAAATTCCACGACAAGGTATTGCTTGGCTTTGTTTTTACACACATTTTTCCTTTTTATTTATTTTTTCCTCACCGAATACAAATGCAGTTATTTACCCATTGTTCATGTTTTCCATAAAATTAAACTGGGAGGCTCCAAAAAGGAAAGGGAAAAACACAGCAGTGCACTGTTCAGAGTCTTCTGAAGTAGTTTGATCATTTTAACAGAAGAAAGGGAAGAGTTTTTCACAAGTCTATGTAATCTCTTGTGTATTGCATTAGGAGTAAAATTGTGACTCTTTCAGTGCTATAGAAATATTAAACCATGACTACTACTGTATTTAATGGTTTTGGTAAAGTTTTTTTATTATTGGGTATAAAATGTAGTTGATTCATGTAAATTACTACTATAATAATAAAAGAACTTGAAAGAGAATATCAAACAAGATTAGAATGTGTGAAGGAGAAGGCTCTACATGGCAAGTTCTTCAAATATCTGAATGAGCCGTTCATAGACAAGGAAGCCAGTCTAACTTGGAAGTTCTGGCCCGAAAGGAGAAACAAAGCGCCTGATCATCGCTGCCAGAATCCTGCAGAACTGAAAAATCTGTCCCGCGCAGGTCTCTACCAGGTACCACGAATCCAAGATCCTCAACCTGCAGGTCAACAGTAAATATAGCATGTGTGGAGTAGCTGAGGAAACAGTCAGTCACATCATTTCCGGTTGATGTGACTGATTCACTCACGCTGTTTGTGAAAGTACGTCTCACACAAGGTTTTCAAATTACTTTATAAGTTATTTAATGAAGAAATATGAAGGTGAGTACCTCACCTTCAGCATTATAATTTTCACCTGCGCCGGACTGAGACTGTGCCGCTGCATGTCGTGCCAAACCTCTCACAGCAACGTGATTATCGGCCGATAGTGATCGGTAGCCGATCAATCGGAGCACCCCTAATAGTATTAATCTTTATAGTAAAATGTTTTTAAATTACAGCTAAGGTTTTATTTCAAAAATTGTGTTTTTTTTTTTTTTTTGGGCAAACTATCCTTTTGAAGCTTTTTGATTTCCCATTTTGTATCTCACCTGTCACATTCATCATTGCTCTCTTTTTCTGTAGGTGATCTCGGCGCTCTTGCAGACCATGGAGGATCAGTCAAACCCTCGTGTCCAGGCCCACGCAGCAGCCGCCCTCATTAACTTCACTGAGGACTGTCCCAAAACCCTGCTCATCCCCTATTTGGACAGCCTCGTCCAGCACCTGCATGTCATTATGGTCGCCAAACTCCAGGAGGTGTGTCTTGCCTCCTATCCCTTTCATTTCATTTGTTTGATTGGTTGAAGGGAGTTTGCTGCTCCTTTAAGTTTAACTCCGCTGCGAAGTGTTTTTGTTTTGTGGAAACTGCAGTTTCTTCATGTGTTTTCTCTTCTGTTAGGTGCACAAAACTAACGCGGTGAGATTTAGTTTGATCTGTATTAGGGTCTGTTCAACTTCAATTCAGAAATGAATGCAGTTTCATTTAAGTTTGCTGAATTAAAATTTAAATCGACCCTCAATTCAGATGTTAGGAGGTGTTGTGGAATTGTGTGATCACCTTTGATTTGAAAGTGTGAAGACATCTCTGCATGCAGTGTTTGACACTATTGGTTTGTTCTGGGTGTGTTTTATGGTGGTGAGTTAATGCTTTAATGTTGGATTTTATTCTTCAGTTGATCCAGAAAGGCACCAAACTGGTGCTGGAGCAGGTTGTAACGTCCATCGCCTCAGTGGCTGATACTGCAGAGGAGAAGTTTGTGCCCTATTACGATCTGTTCATGCCCTCCCTCAAACACATCGTAGAGAACGCTGTTCAGAAGGAGCTTCGCCTGCTCAGAGGAAAGACCATTGAGTGCATCAGCCTGATCGGCCTGGCTGTGGGCAAAGAGAAGGTGCTTTTTAAAAAAAAAAATGTTTTATTTAAATTAATGTATTTTAATCAAATTTATTGTTTTAATTTTTTCATTTTTATTTACATTTATTTTAAACTAATTTATTCATTTTTGTTTAAATTTTTACATTATTTCTGTTGTAGTTCATTCCGGATGCTTCAGCTGTGATGCAGCTCCTTCTGAAGACACAGACTGATTTCAATGACCTGGAGGACGATGATCCACAGGTCAGCAAACACCAGCCGAGCATATCATAGAGGCCGAGTTCAAAAGTTGCCTTTCTCTTATTATGTGTTTGAGCCGCTGTCTTGTGCCTACAGATCTCCTACATGATCTCGGCCTGGGCGCGCATGTGTAAGATCCTGGGGAAGGAGTTTCAGCAGTACCTGCCCGTGGTGATGGGCCCACTGATGAAGACTGCCTCCATCAAACCTGAAGTGGCCCTTCTTGATAGTAAGTGATCTTTCTACACAAGCTGCATTTTTAGGCATATCGCACAATACATTTGTGAACAAGCACCGTTTCCATCCAACGAGTATCAGGGAACAAAATCATCACTTCCTGATAAACTGGCACTATACATCACTAAGAAAAGCAGGAGAAGCTACTGAATATAATAATTTTCCTATATAATAAATTGCTTGCACCTCAGAACGAGCAGACGAAACACAATGAATCCAGTTATTGCTTTCGGAGGTGGATGCTGCTGTTTGGGAACGCAGTCGTTTAATAGTTCTGGGAGGCAATTATACAGAAATACTTTGACAGACTTTGCTCGGTCATTTCCGAATGACCATATAACAACATTTCAGATGCTGTGGAACAAGATCGGTCCGCTGGTTAGTCAGGATTTGCCGTCCCATAGCGCAAAGTCACATTACTTTTTTGATGCGCTTGGAGGAATTTATTCTCAAAATAAATTATATTTATTATATAATACTTCAAATACTACTAAAGATACTTCAAAATGCGCATAAAAGCCAGGTGATGGAAACCCAGCTAGTGACACTCTTCCGGTGCGTTAAATGCGTGTATTTGTACATAAGAGAAATATTGTACATTTTATTCAAACTTTCATGTTGTTGTTGATAAAATAAAGCAGTAGTAATTTAAATCAGAATTACTATATTTTATAACCTATAATGTAGTAGTAGTAGTATTACTACTACTACTACTACTACTACTACTAATAATAATATTAATTATTATTAAAATATAGAAATATTAATTTAAATGTACAACTTCTATAGTTATTACAATGTGTACAAATGACAACAGTAGTTGTAATTTAAATCAGTTACTCTTTTAACCTATAATATAACTGTTATTGTTCTTTTGTTAATAGTAACAAATTTAGAACTACTATAATGATTAGGGCTGGTACAATAAATAGATGCATCGCGATTAGCGGATAGATTCTGAGATTTTCGGAATGCATTGTGATTCTCTCTCAAATCGATTCTGAGCTTTTTAACAGTAGATGGCGCTCTAGGCTAGTTTTTAACCGCTCTCAAATGCTCACGAAGAAGAGCGCTTGTAGTTAAATGTACTTGCACATCGGCTTTTATGATGCAAGATTATCGTGAACACAGCCCACTGTGAACATCCTTGTAATTCGCTTCAACCTTTTCAAATTTTATGAATGATTATTTTAGGTTCAAATGGTGCATGTGTAAGGAACTGGAAACAAGCAGAATACAGCTATTTCTAAAGCACGCAGTGCCATCTGCTGTTAAAAACTAAGCTCAGAATCGATTCAAGAGCGAATCATGATGAATCGATGCAGAATCATTTCTTGATTCACGATGCATCGATTTATTATCCAAGCCTTAATAATAATATACTAATAAAACGGTAGTTGTAGTAATTTAAAACGGTTTAACTGTATTTTATAGCTAGATGTAAAATTTACACTTAAAAGACAATATTATTATAAAAGTCATTATGATCGACTATAATAGTCTATTATAATTATTATAATAGACAATAAAAAAGTAGTTGTAGTAATTAAATAAATCAGTGGGCTGTTTCTATATTTTATAACCAATAATAACGTTGTTGTTTCTAGACTTGCACTTAATGTTGTAATAAAGTGTTCGCTAATGGTGCTTTTCCACTGCATGGTATGGCACGGTACGGTTCACTTTTGGGGGGTTTTCCACTGGGTACAGTACCTGGTACTTTTTTAGTACCAGCTCGGTTGAGGTTCCAAGTGAACCGTACAGTTACCAAAATGTGACGTGTAAACTCTGCTGATCACGGATTGGCCGGAGAGAATCGTCAGTACCTGCGTCACTGAACTTGCGACACAAACACAAAAGAACCGCTAGATTTAAATCCGCACAGCCAGCAAAGGATCGAACGCAACTGTTTTAAACAAGCGCACCTTTTTTAACAACCAAAAAGTGTCTGTTGAGGAAGTACAGACGTTCCTCTCATTGATCGCAGGGGAGCGGATCCAGCGAGAGCTTGAGGGGGGGGGGGGGGAATGAAAACGTCGCAACTAACGACATGTGAATAACCCTGCCCACTCTAAAGCAAACTGAACTGCAGTGGAAATGCAAACCGAGCCGAG